AGTTAACTTGTATTTACTAGTAACTCAAACTAGAACTAATTTATGATAAAAATCTAAGATTTTAGCAAACTAATCTCACGTGGAAGTTTATTTAATTCATTTTATAAGCTTAGAGGTAAGTAGGTAAGTATACTAAGGTAAGTACTTTTAATTCATTTTTTCCTTTTTCCTTCTTTTTTTTGTTTTTTGTATCTTTCTTTTATTGGTTCTAGGTATACATTTCCTATATGGTTTCGCAGGCAGGATGTTTTACTGATAAATACTTGATACAAAAAAGTGGAACTGGCTTATCAGAAATTTTGAAATATACTGTATGTAAAGCTACGACGGTTCAACCCGTCTTTATACATACATATGTGTTTGTATGTATGTATAAAAACTATATAAACGACTTGTGAAGTCAAGACCTGTGCCTTTTTTACCTGTTCTGGACCAATTTATTTTGGTGAAATCTTTTTGGGGATTCTCTTTAGACCTTCTGGAGCACTTTTATCGATGCTACTGCCTTCATCTGCGACGTGCTTCTTTTTTTGTTTTTTTAGCTGATGCCTGTGAAACTTCACGATTTCCGCTTCAGTTGGATTATCGGTTCAAAAATGGTTAAAACAGAAGTTATCTGGAATGTGATTTCGCAATGAGTATTTATTTAACTCACACATGATTTTCCTTTGATTTTAGAAACTAAAGAATGCAGAAATTCTTACCGGTACAACGAAGTGGATTAAAATTGATAATCCTGGCCCTGGATGGCCGTACTGTGGTTTTTGTAAAAAAATGTTAACACCCAAACTGTGCCTTTAATTTAATAAAAACTTTAATTTTTGACTTTTATGTAGTCGTACGCTTGCACGCTGTAAGCCGGTCACCAAGGAAAATAAAGAAAAATTTACGCTGAAGTTGTGCCTAAGCTTGGGTGTTTAGCTAAAATGATATCGATAAATCGTTATCGAATGCCATATGTTAAGCAAGGCTTAAGAGAAATTTTTACGCTATGTTTAATGTTTACTTCAGTTACAGTAGTGGCGAATAGTATTGAAACCAAACTTAAAGAAAATCTTGTGTCGGAAGTAATAGTGATTAATATGTAAATATGAGTCGTTAATATAAAAGGAAATCATAAATGTATGTACCCACGGTACAAATGGTGGAACTTTCGACGGATCAGAACAAAAATTTGACATTTTCGTGGTGAATACGAACGTCAGAATTTTATCTAGCTTATGGGGCTAGATAAAATTTGACAGCTTCTAAATATGTATGTACATAATCTTGTTACGATAGTAGAGTGAAAATCAAAATGGAAACCGATGAAAACCACAGAATTCGTTACTTGCAAGTATAAAATAGATGTAAATTATTCGTACACCATGCAGAAAAAGTTAACGTTTGGTACTGGCCCTATATCGGCCCGGCAGTAAATCGCGCTGGTTCAGAACTAGCTCATTAAGAGGCGGTACTGGTTCTCGATCTATCCCAACGCAATGCTGTCAACTGTCTCTTTTTACATGGCGATGTCCTACGAAGTGGAAATTGCCACCTCTACAGAACTTTCGAACAAGTTCTGAACTGGTTCCATTTTCGACAGTTCTGGGACAGTAAGTTTTTTATGAGAAAAAATTTTAAAACTAGGTTATTGGATATTTTTTCTTTTCTGAACTGTTTCCATTTTGGACAGGTCTGCGACAGTAAGTTTTTTATGAAAAAAAATAATAGTTGTTATTTGACTTTTTGATATTTTTTAAATTTTTCTGTTCTTTCACAGATTGCATTTTATTTAATTTTTTTATTCTTTTATTTTATTTATGTTAAATATGATCACTTTCTCTTCCATTTTTAAGCGGCAACCAACAATTTAAATTTGTTAAATCTGAAAATCTCAACTGCCTCCACCGCGATTTGAACTCGCGACCAACGATGTTAGAGTCGGAGGTATTCCCGCTGAGCTATTTTCGTATTGTACGAGAAGTGAGAATTTGTGCATTTACTTCTCAACAGAGCGCAACTAGCACTTCGAAGTTCTCTCTGCAGCCATTTTGCATTAGTTCAGAGATAGTTCTGAAATGTGTAGGGCGGAACTAGCGCTTTAACTGATTGTCTCTAAATTTTACTGCAGAGGGAATATCGATAATGTTTCCGCCAGAATATTTTAGTACAAAGGAAAATGTGGCTGTCAAACTACCAAGTTACCGCAATAGATGCCAAGATATAAGCCCTGATAAGTGTTAAGCTCCACATTCCAATAGATGTGTCAAGTTATAAATTCCATCCTGTGAAGACGGACAGTTAGACAACTGTCACAAACTATCACCATCCTTAGCTCTGAAAGCATTTATTAACAAAAAAAAAATAACCAAACAAACCTGCAGGAACTAGTGACAATCAGCAACAGCTGTCCGCAAAGAAACACAGCTATCGCAAAATGGCAGACCATGCAGTTTTAGCGTTGCCGTCCGCTCTAGAAAAATTATTAGATGGTGCAATTTCTGGCACGCTACCGGGTGCGCTATACCTCGAAGGATAAAGTATTTATATTTTGTGGGCGAACAGTAACCCATAACAAACCTGCTTCACTTCACGACTCGTCACAGAAGCGAACAGGAAAAAGGGGAAAGGGTTAACTCATAAGGACGGGGGCACGACTCACCCCTGAGATATAGAGTCTCAAAAAAGCAGTATTAGCCGGACAAGGAATTACAACCCCGTAGTTACGTCAGGTAGCAGTTCGGATTCGCCAGGCTCAGTGTTGGGAGACTAATAAGTTTAGTTCTATGATACGAAACCACTGAAGTTAACGCTTGTACTATTTTCCGCATCAGTATTCGCTTGTAATGCTGGGTGGATCAGTTTTGTCTAGTCGCCCTCCGGAACAATAAGTCCACTGATTTAGTTAATACTGAGTCGGGATCCCATCATTCTTGTATTTGTAAAACAATGAATTTAATGTTTTAAAAGGTTCAATCAGGGATTTCAGTAAGTCCGGGTTGTGTTCGTAATTCTGGTAGAAAAAAAATAAAAGTTAGGTCAGAGTGACTAGCATATTCGATTTGAAACTCAATCCCGAGTGTGTGGGCAAAAATTTAAGTTTGGTGTTGCGGTGGTTCTCTATTGTTTTAGGCCAGAGAAGCCTACCCCCAAAGTGCCTAACTTAGTCGGTCTTAACACCATGCCCCCCACTAATTCAATACCGTTAAGAAGAACACAGGGCATGCTGTCCTTAAAAGGACACTTGGCCGCGAGTTTATAGCCGTCCGGCGGCTTGGAAAAACGTATATGT